ACTTCTTGGGCTTTTCGTTTGTTTATTCTGAACTGTTATTTTAGGTCTTTACCCAACAGACTGACCCAAAGACTTGTAAATGTGGTATATAATAGAAAAAAATCCACAGTGAAGACCAGGCTGTAAACTGAAGGGAGTGACACAGCCTGCTGCTCAACGCTCCTCTGATAAGACTTCCATCTTTGGCCTTTACATCCTGTAAACCTAATCTGACTTCCTGTAGCAGAGGAAGGGTTAAACAGGTTTCCCTATTTGTGATGCAATAAATCAGGGCACATTATAGAGAAGACACTGTGGGGAGAGCCAGAGCCAGAACCTAGAGTCTGTGGCTGTTTTCATGCTCCTGTGAGTCTAAAAACTCAAGTTCAGGGTCATTAGTTTATAGAGTATATAAAACTGTTTCCATAGTAGGGGCAGCACCAAGCTCCCTGCTATTTAATAAGTAATTCTAGAAAATGTTTAGGAAGTCACTTGGAGGTCCAAGAACCTCTGTTACTGACGCAGGGGTGTGACAATAGCTCAGGTACAGCGGGTGCCCCACCAAGGCCCCCACAAGTGACCTTCCTGTTGTCTCTTTTCTTTCTGTTACTCCTCTTTGTGTCTTTATTTTTACAGTACCAGGGGTTACGAACCTGTGTGTGCTAGGCCAAGCGTTCTACCACTGAGCCACACCCAAACCCCGTCTTCCCTACTCCATCCCAAAGATGAAGTACCTTTCGTTCTCACCTCCCACGTCCCCTTCCTCCCCCTTCCCTCCCTCCTTCCCTCCCTTCCTTCACAAGGTCATTCTATGTGACCAGGCTGACCTGGAACTTGCAGTCTTCCTGACTCAGCCCCTCCAAAAACAGCCAGGATTTCAGGTGAGTGTCTCTTGACTGGCTTTAATGAAACATCTGGGCTCTTCCTTGGTATCCTTTGTTCCAGGACACTGCCAGAGTTCACCACCTGTGGCTCTAAAGGAAGGTCAGAATGATGAGCTATTCACCCCTTTACCTCTCTGTCTTTATTTTCTACTGTGTGCTGGTCCCCAGCCAAGGCCAGGGAATAGAATGAACCAGCCCAGCCCAGTTTAATTCTTTGCTTTGAACTAAAGGGTCGACACCTAGCATCTGTTCTCTGCAGCTCCTATTTGATGACTGAGCACCTCCACTGTTTACTGTCTGCTGAGGTTCCCCCGTCTCATAAGCTTTTTCAGTCCCTATGACTATGTCCCAGTCTGAAAATCGCTGGCCACTTTTCCAGTGCAGATTCCCCTTGACTTCTGTTCTAGACACAGTTGTTGACTTTGGACAAACTCTGTGTGCCATGTTGCCATCCAAGTGTTGGAGATGGTAGCTGGTAGCTGCTCATCAGAGTCGAGATGAACTCTTGCAGAACCTCACCTGGTGTAGGTAACCCATGACTGCTCATTCTGTGCCAAGTGGTGGAAATGGATATTGAACACCTGCTCCATGATAGAGATTCTTCTGGAAATAGGCATGCAAAGATCGGACAGATACAACCCCTGCTCTCTCAAAGCATGCGGTCTAGTGTGAGAGAGTGACAGGCATGTAAGGAATTACACCACCATGTGTAAAGAGGGGCATGCAGGAATTGGGGGATCTTACAGGAGAATGGGCTGAGCCCCCTTTGGCTTCATATGGTAAGTGCTCAGTGTGAGATTAGCACATCATGTTAGCCAAATCTTCCAATCAGCAGCAGCATGGGAGATGCCTTAGCATCAAAGCTAAGGCTGGAGAGATGGCTCAGTGGTTAAGAACACTGTCTGTTCTTGCAGAAGATCTGGGTTCGAATCCCAGGATCCACATGGCAGCTAACAACTGTCCATAACTCCAGTCCCAGGGGATCCGACAGCCTCTTCTGACCTCTGAGGGCATTGCACGACCTGGGTGCACTTACCTACATGCAGGCAATACACGCAGACACATAAAAATAATTTCAAAAATTTTTCAAAAGCTATCAGTGACTGTTAGAATCACCCCAGCACTTTCTCCTGCCCTAACATGAAATTTCTTTCTCGTGTCTCCTTTATAATGAATTTTCTAAAGTTTTCAAATACTCTGCTCCCTTATTCCTAAAGTAATATGCTCATTGATAAATGTTCAATTGCTAGGCCTAAAAATAGAGTTAGCAGAGCCAGCTGGGAGTTGCTAAGGCAGGGAATTGTTCTCAGGCCTCTTCATCCCTCCAGAGCATCTGGGGCACAGGGCATGGTCGCTGGCTGGTCTGGTTGCTCTTGGAAATGAATGGGCAATGGTGGCAAGCTGTGGGTGTTGGACTCAGTGGCGGGAATGCCCTGGGTATGTCTGCTCTCATCCAGAGTATTCGAGGACGCCAAGGCAATCTTGGAGCCCAAGGCAAACAGGTTAGGGGTGTGCCCATGTGACCTCTGTTATCTCTCTGGGAGACTCATTCAAAGGGAAAGGCCCTTATCTGCTCTTATTGGAAGCAAGAAAGGTCGATGTATTCAGTGATCTGTATGGTGCCCAGCCCTGGGGGCAGAGTTCATGCCAGGATTGCTTCTCTCATAGAGAGACTTTACCTCATCTGTCTCATGAATGGCAAACCCAGTATTTCTCTAAGTAAATCCTGATTATTCTTTAAAAGCAACTGAAAAGTCAAATGATATGATTCCTTAACACAGTGACTCTCTGAAGATCATGACAAGGACTAGCTTCTTGCCTTAGTCCGAGGCTCCTGGTTGGAGAAAAGGCAGTTGGTGGCAGGGGCAGAAAAGTAGATGGTATTGCCCACCTGTAGCATGGCCTCTGCTCAGCTGTGGCTGTTATGTGAGGATGAGCTTTAGAGCTAAGGTGACAGCGGATTCTGAATTTACTGTTCATGGTGATAAGTAGCTTATGTAATGCCTGTCACTCCCCTATCTGACTTGCCAATTGGAGAAATAGTCCCTCAATTAAAATGCAGAATAAAATACGGTAGAAGGCCACGGTGGTGGTGCAGCGGTAGGGCAAGTGCTTTGCGTGATCGAGGCGATGTCCCCAGCACTGGTCTCCAAAAAAGGCGGGCACAGTCTCTGGCTTCACTTATGCTAACGGATCATAGAAAGCCTTCTTTATCCTACAAAAGTTAATTATTTTTGTTTTCCATGTGTGCATGTGAAGGGCAGAGATGAATGTTGGGTATCTTCCTTAATCACACTCCACTTTATTTTTTGAGGCAAAGTCTCTCTCTCTGAACTTGGAGTTCACTGATTTGACTAGACTGGTTGACCAGCAAGCCCCAGATAGCCTCCTCAGCACGGTGATTGTGGCACACACTGCCGTGCCTGGCTTTTTGCTGAGGATTGAAGGTCCTCGTGCTTGCATGGCAAGCACTTCACCGACCAAGCTGTCTCCCCGACCCCGTGATGATTATTATTTTTATTTTTTTTTATTTTATGTATTTTTATTTTATGTGTATGTGTGTTTTGCCTGCATGTAGGTTCTTATCAAGCTCGGGTGTGTTCTTTTCTATGCCTAAAAAATAAGGTGATCCATAAATTTCATGAGCTTCCACATCTCATCACAGCTTCTAAAAAGATTTTTTTTATTTTATGTATTTTTATTTTATGTGTATGTGTGTTTTGCCTGCATGTAGGTAAGTGTGCCCTTGTCATGCAATGCCCGTGGAGACAGAAGAGGGCATCAGATCCCCTGGAACTGAAGTTTTGGATGGTTGCATAAAAATATGTGATTGTGCCCATTTTTCATTTCTTAAGGAAGCCAAATCATCTCTTCTCTTCCCACTTGAAGCTGTTCATTTACATCCAACAAACAGGAAATGTGGGGATATCGGTACACAGATGTATTCAGTGCAGTGCCTTGGGAGCTGCTGGAAGGCACCGGCATTCTGTGCTCTTAGCATGATGAAAGCTGTCTTGTATGATGCCCATGGCCCAGCCTATGCACAGCAACTCTGGTCTTCTCTGTGATCACTTCTAGATAGGAAAACAGTTCAGGAAGCTAGATGTCCTCTAGTCAGTCTGGCTGGATGATTGGTGACTCCACGAGGCTCAGGGAGGTGGACCAGGATCAGGACCTGACGAAGGGGGCAGAGGGACAGGCAGTCCAGGAAGGTGCACCGGGCAAGGCTGCAGAGGTAACATAGCAAAGCGAAGGCGTAGTGTGCCACGTCCCACAGGGCGGAAGGGACCGTGACACATGCATGGCTGGGAGAGGCGAGTTCCGAAGCGCTGGAATGACACCTGAGCTCAGACCTTGGTGTTCTTTTGTTCGTTAGCTGTCAAGGGCGGAAGGGACCGTGACACATGCATGGCTGGGAGAGGCGAGTTCCGAAGTACTGGAATGACACCTGAGCTCAGGCCTTGGTGTTCTTTTGTTCGTTAGCTGTCGTCCAGCATTACCTGGGACTTACCTCATTAGATTTTTTCTTAACCTCCACAAAGCATTTGTTGCTATATAATTTTTTTAGGACTATTTACAATAGAGTGACCTTCATGGGTACAGGGAGAGCACTCAAGAGACAGTATCTTATGCAATACACTCACTGACTGCCTGGCCCTTCCCTCCCGTGTCTCTCAACTTAGGCCACCCTGCCGTTCCTAGAATGTGCTGGCAAGGTCTAGCACTGAGTGTTCTTTTTTGCTGGAATATTCTCCTCTAGAGAAGCCCACCCTTCCAGGCCTCCCAGGGAAGCATCTGTTCTTCATCCACATCTACTGTGTCATCTTAGCCCCACCAGATGTCCCATCCCATAGCTGCTGGGTTGGTCCATATCTGCATTCCCATTGGAAGGGATGTTCTGAGGGTCATGGGCTTTGTGGACTGAACTGACGTGCACAGCACAGTCAGCTCGGAATGAAGGGCCTTCGGCTGCCCAGGCCTCGGTTCCTTGTGTGTGTTTGGAGACGCTGCTTCTTTTTCTTTGTTTTAAAACTGCGTTTCAGGAGTCAAGTCAAAGCAGGTTGTTTAACAACGCCAATGGTGGGTTCAGGCACCGAATCGGATGTTTGTTTGACTGATGACATCATTCCTCTGCAGATTGGCACTCGGTGGCCTGCGTGGCCCCATCCAGTCAACATGGTAGACACAGAAAGTCCACTCTGTCCCCTCTCCCCGCTCGAGACCGAGGACCTGGAGAGCCCCTTATCTGAGGAATTCTTAAAAGAAATGGGAAACATTCAAGAGATTTCTCAGTCGATCGGTGAAGAGAGTTCCGGAAGTTTTAGTTTCACAGACTACCAATACTTAGGAAGCTGTCCGGGCTCTGACGGCTCCATCATCACAGGTAAGTGCTGCTTCCTGGAAGGCTCTGTCCTGACATGCTTTCCTCTGAGAAGCAAGTCATGTCTTACAGAATATTATTTATTTAATTATTATTTTATTTTTATTTATTTATTTATTTGATCTTTTTCAGACAGGGTCTCTCTGTAGCCCCAGCTGGCCTGGAACTCACTGTGTAGACCAGGCTGGCCTTGAACTCACAGAGATCCGCCTGTCTCTGCCTCCAAGTGCTGGGATTAAAGGCATGCACCACCACGCCCGGCCTATTATTTATTTTTAATTTTAATTATGTATATGTGTGTGAGAGTGTGTGCATGTATCTGTATATACATATGTGTACATGGGTATAGTACCCACAGAGCCTAAGGCATTGAATCTCTGGAGATGGAGGTACAGGCTGTTATGAGCCACTCAGTGTGAGTGCTGGGAACCAGATTAGGGTCTCTGTAAGAGCAGCAAGTGCTTTGAACTGCTGAGCCATCACTCAAGCCCAGTCATACCTTGTTTCTCCACGTCCCTGGCTGGTCTGGAACTCCCTATGTAGACCAGGCTGATCTGATTTCTAGCTTCATAGACCGATTTGTATTTCCTAGAATGTCATTGAAATGGCATCATACTTTCTAGACAGGTTTCCTTTGCTCAGCAGAGTCACTTTGTGATGCGTGTGCATCACTGCAATGTGTGTGCATCACTGTGCAATGCGTGTGCATCACTGTGCGATGCGTGTGCATCACTGTGCGATGCGTGTGCATCACTGTGCAATGCGTGTGCACTGTGGCAGGTGCTGGCTCGTTCTTGTTTGCGTTGCCTCATGCACCACTGTTTCTGTCTCTATGTGCCCGTTAGGGAACATTGGAGCTGTTGCTAGCTTCTGACTATTACACACAGAACTACTGTGAACAGTCACATGCAAGGCTCTTTATAGATACCTGCTTCGTTTCTCTTGAGTAAATACATGCCAGGAATGTAGGGCAAATGTTTGTGTAAGTTTTTAGGAACTCACCAAAATCCTTTCCAAAGTGCTGTTCCCACCTTCAGTGTTTGGATTAGTTCCTGCCACACTCACCAGCAGTAGGTATAATCTGTCTGTTACGTTTTAGCCATTCCTGAAAGGGTGCCTTGGCATCTCACGGGGTAGTTTTACTTTGCGTATCTCTTGTGACTGTGGTGCTAAGCATATTTTTTTTGTGCTTATTTGCTCTTTGATGAAGTTTCTGTTCAAATTCCTTACCCACTTTTTCTTGAGTTGTTTGTTTTGTTACTACTAAAGATAGAGATTTACATACGAATTCTGGATCCAAGCACTTTATCGGATCTGTGACTTTTACATGTTTTCTCCCAGTCTGTGGTTTTTTGTCTTTCCTATTTACTGTGTCATTCAACAAAAACGGTTCCCGGAGCTGGAGAGATGGGTCAGCTGTTAAGAATACTTGCTGCTTTTCTAGAGGACCCAAGTTTAGCTCCCAGCAACCATGTTGGGTGGTTTACAGCCACCTGTAGCTCTAGCTCCAGGGGATCTGATGCTCTCTTCTAGACTCCTCAGGAACCCACAGACAGACACACAGATACACACTAATAATAAAATTAATGTTTTTGTAATGTTTTTGTTGTTGTTTTGTTTTTGTGGCACAGACACAGACACAAAGACACACACACACATATAATAAAATTAATGTTGGGTTTTTTGTTTTTGTTTTTTTATTAAGACAGGGTCTCACTGTGTAGTCCTGGCTGGCCTATAGATCAGGCTGGCCTCAAATTCACAGAGATCCACCTCCCCCTGCCTCCTGAGTGCTGGGATTAAGATCTTGCACCACCATGCCCAGCCCTAAAATAAATCATTTAAAAAAAAAAAAACCCACACATCCTGGGTCTGGAGAGATGTCTCAGTAGTTAAGAGCACTGGCTGCTCTTGCAGAGGACCTGGTTGAGTTCCCAGCATCCACATGGCAGCTAACAACTGTAACTCCAGTTCCAGGAGATCTGACCTCCGTGGGTGAAGAGAGGCTGGAGAGATGGCTCAGTGGTTAAGAGCACCAGCTGCTCTTGCAGAGGACCTGGGTTCGATTCTCAGCACCCACATGGTGCCTAACAAACATGGGTACACTTACATACATGGAGGCAATACATTCATACACATAAAATTAATAATAATAATCAGATCTTAATTGGTTTGAATGACCTATGTCCCCTAAGGCTCTGGTATTATACACTCGGCTGCTGTTTGGGGAGGTTATAGAAATGTTAGGAGGCACAGCCCTGCTGGAGGAAGTCACTGGGGGTGGGCTTTGAGCGTTTATAGCCTCACCCCACTTCTAGTTGGTTCTCTCTCTCTCTTCTCTCTCCTCTCTCTCTCCTTCTTGCATGTGGATGGAAATTGATCTGTTAGCTTCTGACCACCTGCTGCCACACCTCCCCCTCTGATATGGACCCTCCCTCTGGACTGTAAGCCAAAACGAGCTCACTTTTGGTCACGGTGTTTTAGCACAACAGCAGAGAAGTAACTGATACTCTAATTTTGATGGAGTTCAGCTTATCAATAACTTTTGAAAAATATATCTAATTATTTTTAGTTTATGTATAGAAGTGTATTGCCTGCATGTGTGTAAGTGCACCCCTGTTGTGCAATGCCCCAAGTCAGAAGAAAGTGTTGGATTCCCCCAGAATTGGAATGACAGATGGCTGTAGCCACTATGTGGGTGCTGGGAATCGAACCCGGGTCCTCTGCAAGAGCAGCTGGTGCTGTTAACCACTGAGCCATCTGCCCAGACCCTCAATATCTTTTTTAACTTGTTATGCTATCTAAGAGATCTTTGTTGGCACCATAGTTACATGTACTAGAATCTTCGGTTTTACAGCGAAGTCTAAGATTCACTGACTTAATTTTTACATGTAGATCCAAATTTCTTTCTTTCCTTTTCTTTCTCTCATTTGAAGTTGCTCTGGCACAGTTTACCAAGAAGACCCCTGGATTGCCTTGGCGTCTGTCAAACTCAGTTGGTACATGTAGGTCCATGTCCGGGCTCTCTGTTCAGCTCCACGGATCTGTTTGTTTCGTTGGACACCAATCCCATAATATCCCGACTACCACACCTTTCTGAAGAAACTTGGTCACCTAGAATAAGTCCTCCAGGTCTGTTCTCTTCCAAACACCCTTCAGATATTCCAGCTTCATATTTCCCAAGGAGCTGTTCATGTGTTGCCTGCATGTATGTAAGTGCACCCATGTCGTGCAATACCCATGGAGGTCAGAAGAGGGCATTGAATCCCCTGGAACTGGAGTTATGGACAGTTGTTAGCCACTATATGGGTGCTAGGACCCAAACCTGGGTCCTCTGCAAGAGCAGCCACTGCTGAGCCATCTCTCCACCCTTGAATTTCTATTTTAAAATGTTTTATTATTTTTAAGTGTATGAGTGTTTGTTTGCTTATATATAAGTGCACCCATATGTGCAATGTTTTTGGAGGCCAGAAGAGGGTGTCAGATGTCCTAGAACTGGAGTTACAGATGGTTGTCAACCACCATGTGGATGCTGAACCCAGGTCCTCTGGAAAAGCAGGCAGAGCTCTTATCATTGAGCCCTCCCTCCAGCCCCAGTTTGTCAGCTTCTTTAAAAAGGCTGCCAAGATTCTAATTGGAGTTACATTGAATATGCACTCAATTTGGGGAGGAGTGACACCTTCCTGGTTTTGAGTCCTGATCTCTACAGGTCTCCATCTCTCCAGGCCCTCCTCCATGCATGTTCTGGTTTGTTTCTCCATCGCTGTGACAAAACACTCTGACCAATCCCAACTTGGGGAGGAAAGGGTTTATTCGGCTTACATCTCATGTCACAGTTCATCGGGGAGCCCAAGGTAGGAAGTCAGGGCAGGAACCTGGAGGAACACTGCTTACTGACTTGCTCCCTGGCCCCTGCTCAGCCTGCTTTCTTATACAGCATAGGCCCACCTTCCCAGGGGTGGCACCACCCACAGGGGCCCTCCCACATCACTGAACAATCAAGAAGGTGTCCCTCAGACATGGCCACAGGCCAGTCCAATGGAGGCGATTCCCCAATGAAGGCTCCCTCTGCCCAGTGTGCCAGGTTGACACCAAGGCTATCCAGCACAGTGCATCTCCGTTTCTCCAGGCCCTCCTCCGTTCCTTTCAGTGTAGTTTATACTTCCTGATGTGCAAGCTTTCCATACTCAATGTCAGATTTGTCTCCATGTTTGCTTTACTCTTGATAGCGTTGGATGGTGTTGACTTTCACATTTTAATTTCTCTTTGTCAAATATAGAAGTATAATTGTTTTTTAAATGTTAATCCAGCTCCCTACAGCCTTACAAAACTTCATTATTTCTGGTGACATTTTTTATAGATCCTTTAATAATCTCGTGTGGATAAGTATGTCATCTGCCATAAAGACAAATTTACTTCTTCCTTTTCAAGATGGTAGCTTTAATTTTTTTTCTTATGTTATTGCACTAATTAGCGCCTCCAGACACGTTACATGGAGTGGCAAAGTCTCTTCTTATTACTGATCCATGAGGGAAAACACTGAGGTTTTTGCCACAAAGTACATTTGCTATACTTTCTCTTAGATGCCTTTTATCGGAGTTGGTATAGGGGAGCCTAGCTGCTTATTGGGGTGATGGAATACACTTCTGATCCCTACTTGCTATGGAGTTTTATCAAGAATTGATGTTGGGTTTGGGGAAATAATTTTTTTTATGCCTCAGAAGATTATCAAAAGGCTTTCCTTTGTAGTTTATTAATATGATGAATTACACATTTTAGAGATTAAGTTGACCTTGCATTCCACTGAAAAATACTGCTTGGTCATCATGTCTTACCATCTGTAGGTATAATTGAATTTAACTTTCTAAATTTTTCTCTGTATTTTTGAAACAGGCTCTCCCTGCAGCCCCAGATGGCCTTGAACTCACAGAGGTTTGCCTGCCTCTGCCTCCAGAGTGCTGGGATCTAAGGTGTGTGCCACCCGCCTGGCATACTTTCTAAAT